AAGAGTACAGGTCGGAAGCAAATTAGCTTCCTCTTGTCAGATCACGTGCTAGAATATCCCTAATCAGAAGTATGACAAATCCCCTGCTTTTCCAGAATTCAGCAGCATCCCTAAGATCTGCTGTGGAGTCCTGCTTCAAAGACCACTTAAGCCTGGCTCGTATTGCAGCATGTCTTGTAAAATCACATGCGTGCTGCTACAGTGAGCAGCAGTGCTAAAGGCACAGTGTGCTGATCGCTGCTTCTTCTCAGCTCACTGGGCTGGGAAAAGCAAGTTTGCCACTGAGATTTTTACTTCAGCATTCGCATCTAGTAAATACGGCGTTTCTTCTCCTCACAGCATCACATGTGCAAACGTATTTGGGAGAACAGAACCACTGCCAAATTGCAAATCTTTTAATTGGTAACTGTCAAATTCCTCTCGCTGATTTTGCTTGTAAGCAACAACTTGGCAATCGGCAATTAGAACTGCTTCTAAGTACTTAGCAGTTGGACAAAGCAGGCTTTTTATTAAAACTTGCCAAGGACACATTTTATATTCTGAAGCATTGGTTTTGTCAGTGAAGAATCTCCTGCATTGAAGGGAAGGAATTTTACAAGTATGGAAAACTTTCAGTCTATGCAATTATAGTACCATTGTTCTTGATCTCAAGTCTCTTTATCTTTATGTATTCCCATCATACTGCTTGTTAAAGAAAGAGATTTCTTTTATCCAAAACATTCTGTGTTTCAGGGCAGGAGGACTACGATCGGCTACGACCGCTTTCTTACCAGAACACAAACGTCGTATTAATTTGTTACGATGTCATGAACCCCACTAGCTATGATAATGTAACCGCTAAGGTAAGAAGCTTTCATAATTGCTTCAACCTTTTAAATGAATTACATGTGCCTGATACACAGCAGGATGTCAGATTAAAAAAGCCGATGCTTTTAGTGTCTCGTACCCTGGGCGTGTAGATGCACAGATCACTCATCGTGCACTGAGCTGCAGGTCACAGACCTTAGACCTGGAGTTCACCTCTCCAAGGCTTCTAAGTGCTCAGAGTTGGGGTTGACTCCACAGTACGCTAAAAAGATCACAAACCAGCAGTGAAATCACTCCTTTATCTGTAGCGATGTCACACGACCAAGATTGCACACAGGCATTTAAGATTCAAGTCTACTTCCATCACATGCATATGTAACTACAGGGTCGAGACATGAAAGCAACCACTTGTCTGTACGAGGATTTCTGTAATGCTCCAAAGCAGAAGTTAGCGTTCCTGTACATAGCACCAGCAAAACAAAGCAAGACTTGGTCCCAATTCTGCTCTTAAATATGACTTTAGAGGAGCTCTTCTGAATTTAAACAGATGTGAAGTAAGTGCTTTGGCATAGCAGCAGACGTTATAAAGCAACTGACTTTGGGTAGGACTCCAATGTTTCTGTAATGTAAGTAGTGCACTTTGGGCCCCTACCGCTACATTAATGGCTTTCAAAATGCTGAAAATGCAGGATATATTAAATGCTGGTTCTGTGCCTTGGCTTTATTGTTTTGATTTGGGGGGGGAGGGGAGTAAGCCAGATGTAAAAGTTGTTTTCCTACCAACAGTGGTATCCTGAAGTGAATCACTTCTGCCGAGGTGTCCCGCTCGTACTGATCGGCTGCAAGACAGACCTTCGGAAAGACAAAGAACAGTTGCGCAAGCTCAGGGCTTCTAAGCAGGAACCCATTACTTACAACCAGGTGAATACACGTGCATTTAAAGTGGTGTCCTCTTTGCAAGAGAGAAAGCACACTTACTTCAGTGGCATCATTGCTCACGAGTGCAATCACAGATACTCCAAAATTAGGTGATCGCAGTATCCAGATAAAGAAATTACTGACAGTCAGCACTAACAGGGGTTTCTGTAAGTCCTTTTTGGAAGTGGCCAAATTGCCACCCATTTTTAGTAAGAAAGCAAGGAGAAATTTGAAGAGCATTTTGCGTATGTTGAGGTGTCTGAAAGGAAACTACTAGCTCCACCTTCTAGGCTCATTACAGCTCATTCTTGTTTCCTTTCACAGCTGGGTTATTACTGTTACAAATTTGTAAGCCTCAACAAGTTTGTTGGACTCCCTTCATAATTTTTATTAGGATACATTGCTCCCATCACTGGTACTTTGATCAGGATTGTGAAAAAGGCTGGAGATGCTAGGACACACATTACAGGATTAAAAATACTGACCATTCTGGAAAAAATGTGTTTTGCAAACCCTATTTAAAAATAAATCCTTTCAAGGACAATAGAGAAGCCTTGCAGATGTTTTTGCTAACATAAGAGACCTTTCTTTGAAGTCTCTAAAGTAATCTTAAAAAAATTACATATTATCAAGGGTTTTCAATTTAAGTATTACAAAGCAGTGAGACTTACAAGTAGTGTTACAACACCGGCATAGCTGTCCTAGGTACACAAGAAACAGTCGGTGGTGGAACAGCTTGTCCCATGTCACACAAGACCTTTCTGCTCTGGTCTCCCACTTTTTTTTTTTTTTTTTTTTTTTAACTACATACAAAGCCATCCTTTCTCCTCTCATCTCAGAGCAAGAACAGCAGCTTTCAAACTGTTTGAGACACAAGTCCAGGGAACAAGGTTAAGTGCACTAAGACCTTGAATGAATCATTCCTTTTTCTAAACAGCATGAAAAGAAACTGCAACTGTATCACCACTAAACCACACCGAGATTTTTAGCTTGTCTTCCTTGTGCACAAGACGAGATGCCCATCCTGTCGCTCTGTGAACAGCTGCAGATTGTCCTTCATTTGCATTAATAACTGCCTTCATCACTCTCACAGATGAGGTTCAGGGAGTCTGCTGAGGCCTCACGCAATTAAATTCCAGGGCCCGTATGATGTACAAATTTTGTCTCCTATGCGAGCCCTCCCACTTGGTTTTTCTCCCCTTAAATATACACTACCTCAGTCTTTTACAGCTGATGGCATCTTCAGTCACACGACATGATGCTTCCCGATGCCAGGCACAGAGGAGCTGAACAGTATCTGCCAGTACTGCAGCTTGCAAACAACTGGAAGGAGACAAACTTCACTTAAATAGGCTGAAGAAAAATCCCCCTATAGAAGCCTGAGTGCTCAAGTGACCCCACTCCCAGGGCTTACAATGAATAAATGCAGTTTGTGAGCTGTGGGTTGTAGACTGGAATTCACACTCCAGGACTCAAAAGCATTCAAAACTGGGGGCTGACTCTGCAATGACAATAAAAGGATCACAAGCAAAGTAAGAAATTGCTGTGTTTTGTCTGTAGTGATTTCAGGCAGCCAGGATTGCATGCAAATGTTTAGTCCGTTCCCATTGCATGCATTTGAGTGAAGTTGAGAAACGCAGACACCCATTTGTGGATACGAGGATTTCGGCTGAGCCGTTGTGATACTCCAAAGCAAAAGTCAACACTAAAGGTGACATCATGTAATAGTTAAGGTCAGGCCTGAAAAAAGCATCCTTGTGTAGACATCTTATCCTCTCTTGATTATCTACCTCAGCATTTCTTCTGAACAAATTTAATAGTGAGCATATTTTTACACTGTCAGTAGTTAGCATCTTAGAGTCTCTAATGCACTGAAACTGTTAGGCCAGGCATAGAGAAAAAAAAAAAAAAACAACCTATTTTATTTCACAGTGCCTCAGTTTATTACCAATGCCACTTACACTCTAGCACTATACTCAGAGGCAGCTTCTTTCTTCCTGACCTCATGATACAAAGATGTACAAAATAATTCCCTTTCCCATCTCACTTTCCTTCTCTCATACATTGGGTTTACATCTTTTCTTACCTTCCGTTCTTTCCAGGGTGAAACAGCTTGTCAGCAGATTAATGCAGAAATCTATCTGGAGTGCTCAGCAAAATGTCGTGAAAACATAGAAAATGTTTTTAAAGAAGCAACCACCATTGCACTGAATGCCATCAAAAAAGCCAAGCGCCGAAAGAAACGGAGAGTGTGCTCAGTGTCGTGATCTGGACTGCAAGAGGGCATTGACTGCATGAGAGCAAAGCAATTCAGATTTTAAAAACAGTATAAAGACTTCTTTTTCAATTACATATTTGTATTCCTAAAATAATTTTTATTTTCAAGTGTTAGTTATTTTTAGTATTTTTGCACTTTTGTTGCAATGTTCTCACAAAGTTTTCAAAGCTCTTTATCAAGGTTAACCAGCGCTGCATGCCTTTGTCCACCTGGCTTTTGCTCCTAACTGCAAGTGACCACCAGTCAGGTCTCGGACTCACTATTTAAATTGCAACGAAGAGTGACTACTACTATATGACTTAATTAGTGCGGGTTTTTTCCTTTGCAAAGTACTTGTGGCATGTTATAGCTCCGATTTACTGTCTTTTTCAAGCAGAAAAGCTACATCTTTTAGAAGTGATGTTAGAGCAGCTTATTGGGCACCTTTGAAGAGACAGAAATTAAGTTCTGTCTTAGCATTTTCAAATTAATTTACTTGGAGGCAGTTAGCCTCCAGCTGCCTCCAGAGTGCGCAGAGAGAGTATCCACTACTGCCCCTGTACCACTGGGCCAGCTTTGCAGAGCTGCTCCTTTAGAGCTCTCCTTGCAAGGTCTGCTGCTGTAACAGAAAGTAATATTTATCAGTGGAAGTACAACATCGGTTGCTCCAATTCAGATATGGAATATCATGGAGAATAATTTACAGCACTCAAAGTTAGAAGTACTCCAGGCAGCTACTGTGTGTAATGTGAAGTCAGTTTTACAGTAAACTTACTTAGCTTATTTAATACATGACAGATGCAAATACTGGTGCATGCTAGGGGAAATACTTAACTCATGTTTGTTAACTGATGAAATCATCTCCACTGCTAAATTAAAATTTTCCCCTTTGTGACGAAGATGTCAGTTGCCTGTTTAAGGATGAGGGATGCTCCCGCTGCACAACCTAGTATACGTGCCTCGCACCTCTAGCTCTTTTGCACATCCTCATGCAGTGAGATCTCGGATTTCAGGAGCCATCACTGCTTTGTAGCTATCATAAACCAAACCCTTGACAGGGAAGGAGGTTTCTGCAGTACACGTGTTGCTGAAAGCTTTCTGTATAAGGCAAACTACAGCCCATCCTCAGGGAGAATACATAGGACTTGCATAACGCTAACAAGACACAACCTTTTGCCAAAAGGCTTGGACGGTGCGTGCCAGGAGTCTGTTAGACAAACACTGCAGGAAGAGCCTGGTAACTGTACATCATACAGAGTTCGTGCAGCTGTATTCTCTGTTGGTTACATGACCAGCTGGTGAAAAACACTCTTGGAGCAAGCCATCATTATTATTTTACCTGCAGGGTAAAGATATCTTGATCCTTGAAATCATACTTTTTTTTTTTTTCCCCTTCCCCTAACTTGTTTTGATTTAATTAAGGTTTGAGAATCCCTATGAGCTTAAAATGGAAACCTAAAAAAAAAAAAAAAACCAAACAAAAAACATTACAAGTTTGTGCCCATCTTTGACTACAGAAAAATCTTGAAGAATTGTGCAGCCCTTTCTCCTCAAGAAGACATTTGTCAGTAAAAGACACAGAACCACCCATCACCTTACCCAGTACGAAACTGAAAGATCAACGTGCAGGAAGTTGCAACGTTTACCCTCAGCTCCTCAGCAGAAATCTTTCTTGCTTTTTAAATCTGAGTTTCTCACGCTGCAGAACTCAAGCTACTCACCACGTGCAGACCTCCCCACCCCTGGAGAACCACATCCAGTGCTCAGATCCAGCAGGTTCCGGCATTATTCTCAAAATAATGCAATTATTAAAATAAAACAATTTACATTTAATAAATGGAGAGTTCAAAGGATTAAAAAAAAACCCCACCACCACCAAGCCAGCCTCACAGGGTGTGCAGAAGACAAAAGTTAACATAGCAAGATACAGCCCAGCTAGTGTGAAGGTTGTTCAAAATATGCAAATTGCAATTTATTGTTCACGCCCACAGGACAGTGACCCTGTAAAAGGTAATTTTGCTGGCCTCGCAGCAACAGAACAACTGATGAAACCATTTCAAGTCTGTAGTGTGAGTATATTTCTTTATGAGCACGCTTACTGGGAGAAGGGCATAATTTTCAGATCACACTCTGCCAAAGCATAGGCCCAATGTGGGCTTTGTGCTAGCTCAAAGGAAACCTTCACCCTTGGGAAAGATGCCACCTCAAGCAGCTCACAATACTGCAGCTGGCCTTAGGAGGTACAGGTGTACAGCACCCAACACAAGCTTATTTGAATAAGTTTAACTTCAAGCAGCACAAGGAGTTAAGCAGGATGGCAGTCGCTATTTGTTCTCTGCCATTCAAGTGTTTACATTCCCTTAACTACTGGTACAAGCGCAGCATCTAAAGAAAGTATTTAATATTTCTGCTGAGCCTGTCCTCCCCTTTCCAGAACAGCACTGGGAGCAAAAAAAATCTGAAAACAGAAACCAAAGTGCACCTGCACTTACTGCCATTGATCAAGGCCATTTTAAAGAAAAACGGTGTCTCGAAAAAACGACCCAAAGGGCAGTGTATTTGTTATTAAAAAGGGGCTGAAGCAGCTGCGTATTGAACAGTTTATTTTAGGTCTTTTCCAGGCCCGGACAGATGACCTGGTTGCCCTGGAAGAGGGTTAGCAGACTTCCCTGCCATTTAACAACTGGTTTTGCTTGCTTGTTTTTGTTCTCAAGAGAGGATTTCTCTTCTTTAAATAGCTTTTTAAAAGTATATATAGCAGCAGTAAGGTACCAAGATGGGCATTTTTTTTTTTTCCACAGTACACACAGGTTAGTACTGCCACTGAAAATATGCCTTAAACAAATGCCTTTAAAAAACAGCATTCGTTCTGTATTACTGATCAACCTGCAGAGTTCTTAAACCTTTGTAAATCCAATACCCAGAATTTAAATAATAAAACTGGAAAGTGTTAAATATCATTCCAGAATTGGAATTACAGTAGATCCCACATTCTCCCAATGCTGGCGCTTCACCGGGCAGGAGCATGCTGCTCTATATACAGAAAAAAAAAAAAAACCCCAAACCAAAAGCAAACACGTTTTGTATTAAATATACATAAATAGCAGGACCGCGGACTGGAGAGCCATGCTTGTGTAATACTGAGTCTGTGCTGGCAGAGTCTGTATCCTTCAAGAAACACGGGGACAGACAAGTCCTTCCGAGCCCGTCCACGGCATAGCTGGGGTTCATAGCAGGATCTGTCCCAAAGCCAGCGCCTGCTGCGGGCAGAGGGATGGCAGCCGGCACGCCGGGGAGGGGGGGTTCACAGCTTCTTCATTTTGTCTTTGTTTTTCTGGAGTTTAGTGTGCACCACTTTGAGAGTAGTGAGGAAGTTCCCGAGGAAGAGCAGCAGAAACGTGAATGCCAACACAAAAACCTGAGAGGGGAGAAGAAAGAGGAAAAAAGAAAAGGTGAGAGCTGAGGGTACTGCTTTGGCCACATTTAAGCGAGCTCTGATGGGGTTTGGTTGGCAAGTCCAGGGATCCATTAGCAGGAGAGAATATCGTAGCCAAATACACACCCATGCATCCAGGTGTGTGGGTTAACAAGTTTATTTTTATCATGATCATTTAAGTAGCAATTACTGCTTTTTAATATTACAATATGGATTATATTCAACATTGCTGGACTCTACCAGACAGTAAAATCAAATCATTAAGTCCAATATAATGGATTAACATTATGCTACAATATGGTGGGACATGGTTTAGTGGGCATGGTGGTGTTGGGTTGACAGTTGGACTGATGATTGTAGAGGTCCTTTCCAACCTTAATGATTCCTAGTTTTTACTTTCATTAAAAAATAATCCAGCCACCAAGCCAGGAAACATGAAATTACTCCTCTACCCTTAACTAGTTTAGTGGTGGACTTGGTAGTGTCAGGTTAATGGTTGGACTGGATGATCTTAAAGGTCTTTTCCAACCTAAATGATTCTGTGATTCTATACAAGCACTTTAGTCATCTAACAGCAGTGGCACAGGCGCGGGGAAATGACACATTTCTGCAGGAAGCCGTGTTCCTCCTGTTAAGCCAGTGAACAAAGTGAGCTCATACAGCAAGATCTGACCAAAATAAAGACCATCAGATTATCTGCACCACTGCACACGTGATGTGGTCCAATCTGGATCTACAGGAGCAACTGTATAGCTGGAAAATGGACGGACATTTTGATGGGTGCCAGCAACTGAGAAAACAAGTGGAAGGATCCCTGAAAGTGGGGCAATAAAGCGGATATGTTTGTAAAGAGATTCACTGCCATCAGATTTTTTTCATCATATTTTTGTATGTGTAACCCATGGATCAGCCATAAAGAACCACCAGCAACTCAGCAGCCACTGCTATTAAATGCCAGTATACAAGACCAATACGGAGAGATATCTACCCACACGTATTTTCTTCCCCCTACATCCTCTGCCTTTCAGTTTGTGTGGTCACCCGTGGGTGCAAGTTTCCCTCCAGTAACTCATTTATTTCACGTTCTCTTGTATAGGCTCTGTGCCACACCATCCTGAGATATTTAGATGGGGTCAGATGCCCAAATATCTTTAAGGATGTGGTTAAACAACACCCCCCCACACTCCCTGCTTTTTCTGAGCAGAACCAACACCCACCTGCCATTCTTTGCACTCCTTATGCCTCGACAATCTGAAAAGCGTGATTGCGTTATAAAGCTGCCAGAACTAAAAAGAAAAGCAAAAAAAAAAAAAAAAAAAAAAAAAAAAAAAAAAAAAGCTATTTCATTATGAGCAAAAAAACCCACCAAACCTTAGAAACATTTGCCATGGGTACATATGATCCAAAGCACCTTTTTGTGGTGCTGCAACCACAGCAGCAGACCCTCCCGAGGCCCCGCACCACAGAGGGAGGAATGGGATTGCCCAACTTACATGCCCAAAGAACAAGAAGGGAAGGAGAAACGTCAGCCCCCGCCACATCCAGGACTGAAATCCTTCTGGAAAAGGTTAAGAAGAGGTAGAGAGTGAGCACAGAAGAGCCAGGACCGGAGCTGCAGCCCTCCCCACCCAGACCACCCCACAAAGGCTACTCCTGTCCTGCTCCACAATAACCAACCAATTTAAAATGTGTACTTGAAGGTGTGGTAACGGGAGGAGGATGAAGATAGGGATGACCAAAACCTCCATCTTAACCCACTCAAGAGCTGACAGAGATCAGAGCCCTCTGCTCCCAACCCACAGCACCCGAGGAGGGGGATAAAAGCCTCGCTCCCCTTCCTGCCGCAGGACACGGGCAGCAGGGCAGGGGGGCGGCAGCTCTGCAAAGCTCGCTCTCGGAAAGCCACACAGCCCTCTGCCTACCACTGCATCTAAAACCCATGCAAAAACTTTGCAAACCAAGTACTGCAGAAAACCTCACCTACTGTAAGGTCCAAGTGGTTTCTCTCCCCCAAAGCACGGAGTCTGTAAAGGCAGCCCCTTTGATAATAATACTGTAGGAACTGGACGCAGCCTAGAGAAGGAAAGAGAAAACATCGTTGCACTGGCTATTCAGAAGTATGATAAACGTAACAAACTATTTTAATAATGTTTAATCTGACAGCATTTAATTATTGTCTATATTTGTACATTGTGTATTTGCATGGTATGGTTTATATTTGTACAGTTTAATACTCCAGTATTTACCAAGCAAAGTGTTTTCTTCTAAGCACGTAAGAGACAAAACTATTTCATCCCGTGAATTAGCAAGGTAAGATATACTCACTCTGAAATATTGAAAATGCTAAAAATTGACTGCGAAACATTTGATACATGAGTCCGTCTGGCCTGAAAGCAAAATACAAAGGAAGTCTATTTGTTTGATAAAAAGCGTACGATGCAGTGCCCTTCCCCTTCACCGCCAAGCCAGGTCCCATTAGCAAACGAAGCAAGCAGCTGGTATCCAGCCCGCTCCACCCCATCGGGAGCCCAGAGACCATGCTACAGCCACACATCCCAACTCTGGCATGTAGGAAATGCTCCGATTGATTAGGTTTCCCCTCTCAAATGCGTATGAATGCTGCCCCCTCTTATTCATTTCCTTATCACAGTTTTCTCTAGGCAGCAATCAGCCATTCAGCAGCGTCTGGGTCAAGAATCCAAGCGGTGGAGCAGGGGGTGGTTGCGCTCCTTATCCTAAGGGCAGTTCAGGATAGACAGAGGACAGGGGACCTTCTGCTCCAGCCGCTACGCCATCCCATTACAGACTGAGAAGCAGAAACATTTGTTGGTTTAAAACAATTTTTAATTATTAATTAATCAGTCCATGCCAAAGTTGAGACAGGATGCACAGGGGCCGTACACGGGGCGCATCACTGCATTGTTTGACCAACACCACCACCCATTGGAAGGTAACTTGCATTTTTGGCTTTATACTCGGTTTGTAATCTGGGCTCAGTAAAAGCACCAAAGAGATTCATTTTGTGGTGTCCTCCCTCTCAAGCAAAGTGCTGCTTGTTTGCTTAGATACACAGAGAGAGAAACTGGGAGACTTGAGGAGATCTTGCTACCATCAGTGCAACTACAGCTTAGGGTTTGGGTTTCTTTTTTTTTTTTAATCAGCAATGTAAATACAAACTTGCAGCGCTGTACTTAGCATTGAAAACATCTGTAACATCAGACAAATATTAAGTCTGATGCTTCACCGTGTGCTCATGTGGCCACAGCTTCACAGTCATACTGGTTTTAAATGCTTAAATGATGCAAACACTTTGCAACAGGCTTGAAAGCACCTCAAGCAGGCGAGAGCAGACTCACCATGTTAACATTACTCCAGACAGGAATGTGGAGACGTAGTGATGAGATACCCACCAGCCTTTGATCCTGAACAGCAAAAACATGGCAGTTAGACAAGAAACATGGATTTTTAGCATTATAAGTCTGGCTTTAAAGGAGGAAAAAAAAAAAAAAAAAGAAAAAAAAAAGATCCTGACTTGGGGGAGAATGGGGGCAGGGAAGAAAATAGATGGCCCAACTCAAGCAAAAGGGGTGCTGCAGAGCACTCTCCTGACAGTATGGCTTAGCTGGGGGCACAAATCCACGACTTCTGGAGGGAGGCTCAGGACCAGGGCACATCTCGCGTGCTCCCACGAGCCCTCCAGCACAGCGAGAAGCAGCAGTCCCCACAGCACGACATACCGTGGTGACTAATGATGCACAAGTTTCAGCCCACACACCCCTTTTTTTTTTTTTCCATGCCGTGCAAATAAGTGACATTTCCAAGTACTTCCTATGAGGTGGCTGTTTCTTTCAGACAGGAACGCTGCAGAAAGCTCAGAAAATTACAGTAAAGTGAGCAAAGGCTGTAGCAAGGCAGAATCAAGAAGTGAAAAGCTGCCCCAGGGATGGTACTGCTTTGGAAACTAAGCCAACACGATGGGTTAATTTGGGGCATTTCCAACCAAAGGTGTGTGACCTCCAACACAAGACAGCACCGAGCCACTGTGACCCACCTCTGTAGATGCAGCGAGCGCAGGCTCAGAGGTTTCTCTGCTGGCCTCAGGCAAGCTATTTTACATCCCCATGCTTGTTTTTTTCCTCTTAGTCTCTGGCCCCACAGCAATCCTCCCCCTCTCTGGAAAGCACCCCAAAACAAGACATCCCACCCGCAGCAGCCCTGGGGACAGCTGTGCTTGCGGAAGAGACTGCTTCATCCCTGCTGCCCGTGGTCAGTGCTGGGAACTGTGTCCTTGAGCAGCTCCCAGAAATCAGCACATTTTTAAGATTTTGCCCCAGGGCAAAGCAGGAGGGCCCTGATTTTCCCACCGTACATGCCACACCAGTGCCCACCTCCAGGCGGAAACCCCCTCTTGCATCAGGAGCAGGGGCCACAAGCATCCTGCCGGTAATACCAAGACAAGGCTCCCAGAAATGCTCCCTCCCATCCCCATTTCGAGGAGATCGTGGAAGCAACTGGCTTCAGAGAGGGAAGAGACTGGCTGAAACAAGGAGCCACAAGCTGCTCCCAGCTGATCGTTAGGCATTGCCACTTAATTAGGACAACACTGACTCCTGCCACTAACACAAGCACTGGTCCACCCCTGTTCACACACCAAGGGAGCATACAAGGTCTCTGTGCA